ATTATTGATAGAGAAATATATATGAGATCACTGGTTTTAGTCCTGGTTTAGACCTGGTTTAGACCTACTTTAGTCCTAGTTTAGTCCTGGAATGGATTAATCTTGGTTTTAGTCCTGGTGTTCTGGTTTAGTCCTGGTTTAGACCTGGTTTAGTCCTGGTGTTAGTTCTGGTTTAGTCCTGGTTCAGTCCTGGTTTAGACCTGGTTTAGTCCTGGTTTAGACCTGGTTTTAGTTCTGGTTTTAGTTCTGGTTTAGTCCTGGTTTAGTCCTGGTTTAGACCTGGTTTAGACCTTGTTTTAGTTCTGGTTTTAGTTCTGCTTTAGTCCTGGTTTAGACCTGGTTTAGTCCTGGTTTAGTTCTGGACTGGATTAGTCCTGGTTTTAGTCTTGGTGTTAGTTCTGGTTTAGAGGCGCACAGGAGGAAGCGCGGTTTACGCAGCGGTACGCGAGAAAACACGGTCCACACGCGGCTCACGGGAGCACGTCGGTGTCCGCGCATTGTCTACGGAAGGAAACGTGGTCCGCGCGTTCTCAGGTTAATGACGATGATGAAGGTGTGTGTTTGTTTGTGTGTGTTTGTGTTTGTGTGTGTTTTGTGTGCGTGTCCCCTCATGTGGCAGGTCACTATAGGACAGTAGTGCAGACATCATGAGCCTATGCAGGTTGTTTTCAGGCGATATTATATTTGTTATTTTCTTTTATATTTCACGTCGGGAGAATAATTTCCAAGACACGAATGTGTTTTTACCTGTGCACTGCTGACTCTGTTCTACTGGCTCTTCGACCTCGTCCATTGTGCGACTGACGCCGCCAACGTGAACATGACGTTTACATCGCTGTTACTGCGCGCGTTTTGTGTGGCTTTCCGGCAATGAGTGGAATTACCGAAATAAAAAAATGTATAAATGTGTTTTTGTGTGTGTGTGTGTGTTGTTGTCCCAACAACACATAAAAACAGGTTTTATAATAAAGAAACTCACATACAGAAACACTAAAGTTAGAGATTAAAAATGAGATTAACGCGATTAAAAAACATAACGCGCTAAATATGACTGTAATTAATTAATCGCAATTAACGCGATAATTTGACACCCCTAATCCTAATCACAGTTTACTGAGATGCTGCAATGTGTGCAAATAGCATTAACCCAGTGTGTTCCTGTTTACCATTAAGCCTTGTTATAGCAGTTTGTTTGCACTCACTGGGTCCAAATATTATTCAAAACACCAACATACTAACAACCCTATAATTGGCGAAGCAACAGTATGTGTCAGTCAAGCCCATGTATAGGCTACCGTTAGCTTTAATAAAGTGTAGTGCAAAAGACAAAGAGCCTGTCACATTTTCTGTCACCATGGAAACATCCTTATGTAGGTTTGTGTTTCCTTTTGTGGGGGCCATTTTGAGGACTTTCAACCAGTGAAAAGTTAAAATATTTTGTTAATTTTAAGATGCTAAGTAATTGGGATGCACCTATATGATATTGGTATTGGATATCTGTGCCATTATAGAAAAATTAGCTGGACTGGATATCATCTTACAGATATCACCTTACTCGATATCCTGATTGGACATACAGTATAAACTGATTAATAATACTATTTACTAATTGTTTTTGACACAGAATGGCTCAAAATATTGGAACATTTATTTATACAAAGTAACTACTTGATGAAGAGCTACATTTGAATCAGTTTCGTCTTATATCACTTTAGTTTAAAAGGAAATAAATGCTGTTTTAAGACTCTGCAATGGTATCAGTTAAAATCGGGTATTGGCAGATCCTTAAAGCCATAGTATGAGAGTCTGTATCGGAACTGCAAAAGCTGGATCAGTGCATCCCTACTAACTAAGCTACTTGAGTTAGCATTTACACAAAAATATGCAGGAATTTACCAGTAGTAATCCAGCAGTGAACAGGGCTATTACGGCTCTTTTGTTCACTTTTTAATATTATTTTGACTTATGCACCTACAGACAGTTAAGCTGCTTTCAACAAAGATGGCAGATTTTACCAATAACTCTTAAATTCATGACATTGAATCCATTAGTCATTAACACAATTCAGAGATGTCTTTGGTTGAATAATGTGCGACATGTCTCTTCTCTCATGTCAGGGGCAGGGAGAGTGCATGTCCCCAGTTACTCTATGGAAATGACTTAAAAGCATTGGGGACAGTAGATGGTTCCTGCCTGGTTCTGTCCTTGAGGCTATAGGGCTCAGGTTTGGAGTGCTTGATTGAGCTCTCATGAGGCAGACACTAAGGCAGTTCAGAGGAGGAGGACCACAGAAATGCAGGGATGCTAACGCTGTAGAACGCAGAGGAGGTGGAGTGGGCTAGAGACAAACTCCAGTCCATGTGTTGTGCCCTGAATAGCAACTCTTCTTTAACCCACTGCCCCAGGATATGGCAGTTTGAATACAAATTTACATAGATAGATAGATAGAAAGATAGATAGATAGATAGATATCAATCAAGCTTTATTTCAGACTCCAGTGTGTCCATATAAAACATTTAAAAACAGACTGTAATCATAACGATCTATAATGTTTTATGGAAAAGGAAAAACATGAACTGAAAAACATGCATTTTTACTATGAGTAGGGTCGCCTCTCTACAGATGTGACTTGTTTCTATTGAGGTACATAAGTTTATTTAAATACTGTGAAACATTTTAGGAGAAGCAATAACATCTTCATGGAGGGGACAAGCAGACAGTGGACTGTCCACCAATTTCCCAGAATAGCAGTTTGAATAGCAAACAGCAAGTCTATTAGCCTGATTCGTCAGCCGATTTCACTTGATGGAAACTGCCTGACCTTGCAGCATTAGGATTCGTTTGCTGGTACTTTTTTTCAATAAAAAAAAAATTGCCTCTATTTGGTTGCGATGTATGTAATGCACCAAATCCTGTAGAAAGAAGGGCAATAACATCTTTCCCCTTGATAAAATTCATCAAATATTCTCTTTGTCCCAGCTTTAAATCCTTGATCTCAGGAATCGTTGCCAACACAGAATGTATGGCTTCATCTACATCTATCTCGACCGCTTTGTTTATTGTTGTGCTGTACCAGAAAAGGGACCCAGACAGGCGCTTGAGTTTGATGTCATGGCTTCACAGCTCTTCACTCATTGGCTGATGCGTGGTCTACAACTTCTGGAGTTCTTGCAAACCGTCTATTGTATTCCGATTGCTGACCTAGTCGCTGGAGAGAAATGAGCCGAGGCACAAGGTGGCACCAGCCTGGCCACAAGTCTATGTCTCTGTTACAAAAAAGTAAAGTATTTTAGAAAATCTAAGAAAAGAAAATGCCATGAAACACATGCACACACACACATACACACACACACACATACACATGCAGATAGAAAATACCAAATGGTGGAACATAGGAAAAGCAACAACAGCTTTATGCAGACAAGCAGGTGACCCCCATCAGAAAAACTACACAGTACATCTTTAAGTAAATCACTGAAATTGTATTACTTCCAGTGATGGGAAGAAAATGTTTTGAAAACTTTGAAAATGTATTTAGCTGCAGAATACTGTATACTGCATTAAAATGTATTTTGTAATATATTCTGATACATGGTCCAAACAAGAGTACTGCACTGTGAATACTTGGAAAACTTTTATGCAGAGTTGCACATAAATTATAGATTAAAAAGGCCACATAGGATTGAAAACAGCTTTATGTTTGTTTCAGTTTGTTATGCATTTCTTATCACTAATTAGGAAAGAAAAAAAAAATACATATGCACACACTATACGAGCAATGTTTTCTATTTTCTCACTGATTATGCACAGTTCAAAGCCAAAATTTTGTGATCATATACAGTCATGTGTTCCTTTAATTTTAGGAAAGTAATTGTATTCTGAATACCATCAAATGAAAGACTAACTATACCGGAATACAAGTCCTCAAAATGTGGATTCTTAGTACATGTGTGCAGTTTTATTTTATGTAAACTATTCTTGAGTTCACTTATGGGGGAGTCAGGATAAAGGAGCCAAGAGGAACGACAGGGCTAATTGATGGTGGTGCTAATGGCTGATGGGAAAGGAAGGCTTTATTTTAAGTGTGTCATGTCACTCTGAGTCCCCCACAGCCCCCCGCCTTGTCTCTGCATCTTTGTGGGCGCTGCTGTTTAATGTTCTAAGAGACTTTTGTATTCAGCCTCACCAAATCTCATATACAAGCCATGTCTAAATCAAATCAGTCTGTTTTTGTTTGTGTAGCATAAATATTATAAAGCAAGGCTGTAAAATTACTTGAATTTTAAAGTCATGTATCAGCTTGGGGATTTTTAATTGAATGGTCTAGCCAATCTTTTCTCAGTAAAAGCAAAGTTGTGTGGAGCAGAGTTCAGACTGTGAATAAATAAATGCGACTATTCTGGTGTTAAATGGCACTGATTGAAAGTCAGTCTTGTTTATGTTCACGGAATTTAGATTGAAAGCCATATTTGTTTTCAATAAGCAAAAACAAAACTGTTACCTGGAAATCTAGGATAAGAGACTGAATGTGAGAGAGGCTGTGGAAGGATTAGTGGCAATTGCTGTGTAGATTTTGGTGCTGGTTTCTTTTTCTGTCTTGCGGGTGGATCTGTGTATACTTTACATTGTAGTATTATTATATTATTAAAATGTTCAATAAAAAAAACACACAAAAAGTGAATCAAAAAAGTGTATTGAAGATTGTGATAGAAAAATAGTCATTAGTATAGTAATATGCACACTGCTCCCTCACCCTATGGCTGTTTTGTGCTCTAGACGACTCGGTTTCTGAGAACAATAGCACCTTACTGTCAAGAGTCTCTACTCCGAAATAGCAAGTCTAATAGTTAGGAAGACCAAAATAGGACTTATGCATGACAGTTTATTTCGTAACGGAGGAGAGAAATTGCAAGCAAAAGTAATAATTTAAAGTGGTGTTTTACAATATTGCTCTAACATACAGTGTGTATTGAGTCTGTTCTTGTTATGTTTTTTTGCAGCACTACTTCCAGATTGTTTTCGGACATGACGGTCAGAAGCCCCTGGAGCTTCGAATAGAGGAAGAGAATGAGTGTGATGAATGGGTGGAGGCGATTCAGCAGGCCAGGTTGGTACATCATGACATTACGCACAACTGTGGCTGTTTGCACATTTATTTTTTGAATCCCAATTAGCTCTACTCATCCTTTATAAACATCCCTTGAATTTAAAACAGCGTCTTGCTTTCTCATTGTATAGTTTGTTTCATCTGTTGTTAAATGTATTGCATATGTGCATACAAATTGTTACATGTAGTTAATATGATTAACTGAGATTCAGGAGCAGGACCACGCCTCAGCCGCCTTCTCCTCTCACCAGCGAACCACAACTCACCACGACCACGCCTCTTTCCCAGAAGCCTATATGTAGCAGCCTTTCCCATCATCCCAGTTTGTCTCAGCTAACTTGACCCCATCCTCCCATCCCCTATTTTGTCTTTCAGTCTTAAGACCCCTACAAGGGGGGTCCCGTTCTGGCTGGGCCAATTGCAGATTGAGACGAAGCCCCCACCCATAGTCTCAACCCAGCCATCTCTGCCTCGCTTAGTACATTATCAATAAACTTCTTCGCACTATGTTGTTGTTGGCGTGGTCCATACACACATACACACAAGATGCTTCAGCCTGATAATTTAAGTTCTTTATAAAGTGATAACATATATTTGTTATTGTTTGTTATTTATTGTTATATTTTAGGTACCATTTGAATTGAAAAATATTAGGATCAGTATTATTCCACTTATAACTTGTTTGTTTAATTTGTGTACTGTTTACAGTTACTCTGACATCATCATTGAGCGCGAGGTGCTGATGCAGAAATACATCCACCTGGTTCAAATAGTGGAGACGGAAAAGGTAGCGGCCAATCAGCTGCGGACTCAGTTAGAGGACCAGGACACTGAGATTGAGAGGCTTAAATCTGAGGTACTCATGCCAAATATAATCCTTGCATTTTCATTACACTGCTCTGACAATGGAGCTCACAATAGTGTCATTAACTGTACTGGCTCTGTGGGTTTAGACACAACTGCGTGTTACATAATCCAATATAAACTGTGCCAGCTGTATCATCAGGCCAAAAAAATAAAAAATAAAACTGTCTTGGGGTATAGACCAGTGTTACACATTTAGACATTCTAACTGTTTTGATTAACTTCATTATATTTTCAAGGGTGACAAGCAATGACTAAATTACTGGTGAAACTGCCAAAGCATTCCTATTGCACATGCTTTGGTTCTTATAGGTCCACTGCTTCTCTCCATTTTGATAAATAGGCTTAATCTATACTGTGGAATATTCCAGACAAAGCAAGGAGGTAGTGAACCCTCCTCTAGAAATGGTAAGCAGTACACCTTTAACTAAATTACATTACGCTGTTACACTACACAGTAATAAAGCTGGGGTAACTGATTTTCAGTGAAAGGAGGAAATAGGTGTTTCTAGCTCCCACAAATTCTTTGGGGTACCTGCACAGCTTTAAAACAGCGTTTTCAGTACGTGAAGCAAAGCATGCAGCAAACAAAAACCTATTTTAGCAGCATATCAGGCTCAGTATTCTGGGTTTGCATTCAGTAAAAATGTTTTATGATTACAATTTGTTCTGCTTTTAAAATATAGTCTGTGGGGAAATAAACACAATTTACATGTTTACAGGAATAAAGTTGAGTACCCCAAGCTATTCAGCATAATGCTATACTAAATACTGTACTACACTGTGCTGAGTGAAAGGTTATTGTTGTGCAGTTAAATAGATGTATTTTTCTTGCTGCTCTAAATGCTGATTCCGGTTACAGATGCCATATGCCTATGGGTATGCATGCCTGTGTGTTCTGTGTGAAAACACGGGTGAGTGGGAGTGAGCAATGACTGTGTGTGGGAGAAGCCCACTGCTTTCCAGAAACAGACAAACGACTCAGACATCACTCTTTCCTCCTCTGTTTCTCCGTGTCCATGCAGCTATGTAATCGTCTGCTAGTAACAGTTTCACAGCTTATCACTGGTATACAGTAATGAGAATTTTATAATAATGAGATCTCATCAATATTTACTATCGCTTGTAGGTGTGTAATATGTTGACGACATAAAGCCAAATGGGGGGCAAGAGCAGATTTTTGTTTTAATAACGTTGAAATATCCAAAAGCTAAATTCACAAATGTTGAATCAGATCATTTCTATTAGTTACTAGACACAAGAATTCACTATATTACCAAAAACAAAACAAAAAAAAACCCCTGCATTTTCACAAGTTTAGCTGCCTCCCATCTGTACTAAATATTAATGCCCCTTAGAATTTTCTGATTAGAGATCAGCCAATATGGGTTATTTAAAGACCTATGGCGATACCAATTGTGTAGAATCCAGAAAAGCCAATGACTAATCAGCTCTGCCAACATTTTTTGGCTGGTATATGGGGCCAGTTTTGATTATTTTCCCCCAGTTTTATGATTTGAATTTAGTACAAACTCGCCACAAACCAACAGTATAAGAGAGCAGATAAAGCTTTATGGATTATCTTTAGGTAGCTGATTGGGAAAAGCAAAATATCAGCCTGTGCTGGTGATTTAAGGCCGATATCTGATATGCTAAAAGTACAAATATCTGCCCAGTATATCGGTTATCCAACATATCTCTAGTTATTATTATGCCATCTGAGACCCAACGATGGAGAAATAGTGGAAAGAGTGAGGGAGAGACATACAGCAAACACCAGCCTTTTCAATAGGTTTAATGCACCACAGTTCTACCACTGAGCAACATTAACTTCACAAATTGTCTCAAATTGTATGTTATTTGCTTTTACCCAACTCTTAAAGTACTTATAAATCCTCAAAGTCATACCTAAATACCTAACTCAAAAGTATCTCAATACACACTATCACATGGTATCTGATTTGTCATTACCCTGTACATCTTGGGTGGGGGAGGAAGCTAGAAATATAACAAAATGTGCAGTTTGGGTGGAGGTGGGCAGCATGTTGGCAGTGGTTGCATAACGTACCATTACTCCAAGATATTTTTTGTAATTAATGCAATGTACAACATAATTAGGGAAACAGTATCATTCAGGTGTCATGGTGGTGTTCAATATAATAGTCTTGTTTGTTTGAAGAACAGCTGTCCCTAGGTGGAGTTATTTGTTCTTTGGTTTTGCTGCTGACATATTTATACGTCTTGATTTTTCTCTCATTTGTGTAATAAGAGGTTGGGTGAGAGCTTGCTGGGGAGGTGATGTTGCATTAGGGAGAAAATGCGCCTGCAAATGGTTTATACTGCTTGTGTTTTACATCTCCCCAGAAGCAACAAGTTTCTTTCAGTTCCACGCTGTGATCACATCATTGCTGTGTAGTTTGACGATGGCAGTTTTGAGAGTCGGCATCTGCTTGTCTAGTGTCTGTGAAAAACAAAACAACAAAAAAAAGGAAAAGGAAAAAAAGCACCATTTAGAAGTCCATGCTCTCTCTCATTCAAATATGAGCCCATTTGCCTATTTTGTGCGTATTTGGCTCAGCATTTATGAATAATTGATGGAACTAACCGCTCTGATTGCAAACACTTAGCAGACTGCCTCAATGTTTCTCTGTGGACGGAATAAGAATAAAAAACTGTCGCTTGGATTTAATTTTGCAACCAATGATAAATGGCCCCCATTGACGCAGGCCCATTCAAATTGATGTGAAGATAATAAAGCTAATAATAAGGGCAATCATAACCACTGCGCAGGTTATATGGTCCTCTGAATTGTTAAGTGCAACCAATTATGTGTGCAGAGTATTAAAGAGTGCATTTTTATTGCTTAATAATGTTCAGTAAGAAAGCTTTATCAAACTGAGCAGCTACTGGAAAACAAAGATACAAATATATATACAAGCAGAAGATCCTGATCCTTCTTTTAATATCCGCATGACACAGACTTCTACATTACAGTAAATGAACAATGTGTTAAAGGTGCTATTTAAAGGTAGCTTATAGTACACAGTCTTCTCCATGGAGATGTTATAGCTTTGCCTGGAATGTTCCACACAATAGCCTTATCCATCTGTGGATCTGTGTCCAAATGTTTTTCCTTGTGAATCAATAAGGTTTGTCTAAGTCTAAGTTTTTTACAATAAAGTTAGCTGAATGCCTGCAAAATATAAGGTTAATGTCGTTCTGTGTAACTTTATAGACAAAGCAATAACATCTCCAGGGAGACAATCAAACATGAAACTTTTCCCCTCTATTCCCAAGTAAAAGGTTTCTACATACCTATAAAAGTGACTGTATCATACAAGTCAGTCACAAACATTTTACTGTATGTGTGTATCATGAGAAGAGGGAGTTAAAATTTGGAGGAGAGGATTTCATAGTTCATTTGCTTATTCTGCCATTATCTGATATCATATGGTTGTCATAAATCCTGTTTGAATGAAAATGAATGAATGAAATGAATCAATGAAATTAAATTATATGCATGATGAACTGTTCACTGTTAATATTCACAGTCAATTTGGAATATGTGACATCTTAACCTTTAAAGAGCCCATTTAACACTATTTTCTGATCTATTGTAATATTGTTTCATCATCTAAAACATCCCTGGAATTGTGTGTTGTTTCATTCACACATGTTTAACACACAAACCTTGCACAATTTGGCAGATTTTTTTTCTCAAACAGAAAAAAACCCTGTTCCACCTTGTGATGCCACATGGTAATACTGGGGGTGCTCCTCTGTGTTTTCAAACTCCATACACCATCACTGGATTCATCTGGATAATTTCACCCCTGAAATTGCCTCTGTACTGAACAAAAGGTAAAAGAAAAAAAAACTACCGCTTCATGACATCACAAGGGTGAACAGAGCATTTTGAGCTTTGGAGATGTAGACAGACTAATAATAATATGTGTGAATGAAACAAAACATATACATTCTAGGTATGTTTTTGAGGAGGTAACAGCATTATAATATGGCTTAAAACTCACAAAAGTCAAGAGTAAATTTTGCATAATAAACATGTATGTGATCTTTAAGTGTATTTTGTTTACTAAACCATTTAATTGGATCCTGTTACAGATTGTAGCTTTGAACAAAACCAAGGAACGGATGCGCCCATACCATGTTCCTCATAATAATGAAGACCCAGATATTAAAAAGATCAAAAAGGTAAACGCGGCGTGAGGTCTTCTGCTTCTGTGTGTTTGTTCTTGCCTTGTATAAACTGCTCTGTGTGTTCAGGTACAAAGTTTTATGCGAGGCTGGCTCTGTCGGAGGAAATGGAAGATTATTGTCCAGGACTATATCTGCTCCCCTCACGCTGAGAGCATGAGGAAACGTAACCAGATAGTGTTCAACATGGTGGAGGCTGAGACAGAGTAAGTGCAGAGCAATCCATATATTTATGCACTTTGTTATCATTGCATTTACATTTGAAGAGTGCATTTTGCAAAAACAGATACATGCAATTTAAAAAAAGTGAACGTAATAAAGTTTACTGTTTGTATAGAAGTGTTTTCAAAAGCTAAATGTATTTTACTGCAATCCAAATATAATATTCCATCCATCCTTGTTAAATTTTGTATTAATTATTCATAGTCATTGATAATAGCTGTAGAACATGGCAACAAAAAGAAAAATACTATGGAGATATCTGTTTTTGCAATTGAACTCTTGATTTAAAGATGTGGATAGAAAAAGTCAAGAATTGCATCATGACATCATAAGGTGGAACAGAGCATTTTGAAGTTTGGAGATGAAGACAGATTAATAATAAAGGATTACTCAAACACAACTCCAGGTATATTTTTGATGAGGTAATTACATTATAACATGGCTTAAAGCTCACAAAAATCTATTTGGTGTAATATAGGACTTTTTAATATAACAAAAAACAAGTAAATAAATACTTTTACATGTAAATTAATATTGATTTGGACAAATATTTGATGTCCCAGGTAACTGAAGTTGTAATTATAAACCATATCTGTAGGTTCTGAAACTGCACAGTGCCCTTAACGTCACCCATGGATGTTGTAAGAAATATTATAATTACTCACTCTGCAGCAGAGTTGTTTTCAAATTAAATTAAGTTCATTACACAGATTTTCTAAAACTACCCAATAACCCAAATGTTTCAGCATAATTCTGCAATAAAAAACATTCCTTGAAATAAAGCAGAGATGGTTTCAGAGGTAGCCATCTGGCGGTTTTGGCTTTCATCCAGAAGCCATTTTCATTTTGATAGTACTGGTCTGAGACACTTGTCGAATTGGCTTCTGGATAGGCACCGAAATGTCTACATTTCTAAAACATTGTCCTGATGAATACCTCTCAAACTTTGGACCACTCCTGGAAGAATGAGCGATTACCGATTTCTTGAAATACAAACATTATCACCTTATTCTTACCAATGTGATGTTAATAATATCTAATGCTTACAATGAACTCTCTCCCTGTGTGTGGTTGCAGGTACGTGCACCAGCTCTACATCCTGGTCAACTGTTTCCTGAGGCCTTTGAGAATGGCTGCCAGCTCCAAGAAGCCTCCCATCAGCCATGACGACGTGAGCAGCATTTTCCTCAACAGGTGTTTCTATAATGCTTTTTCTGCTCTAACTCAAGCAGGTAGTGCAGACAGGAAGCAACCATAGTGCCTCTATTACTTTGTGTCTGACATGTGGCTATTCTGCTTCTCTTCAGTGAGACCATCATGTTCTTACACGAGATCTTTCACCAAGGACTCAAGGCCAGGATCGCCAACTGGCCCACCCTAGTGCTGGGTAAACTTCATCCCTTCATTTCTCACTAACTGGTGGTTTTCATATTCCAGACCATGATGATGATGTGATAAACCCAGATGGGGGGTAAAGGGCAGTTTTTCCTATTAACTACATTGTACTTTGTCATGAAATATTTAAGAGGATAATTCACAAATGTTGAACCCTATCATTTTGATTAGTGACTCGAACCAAGAACTCAGTACATTACAACAAAAAACACTGCAGTTTAACAGTATTCATATTAGTTGTGTCCTTAGGCAAGGCACTTCCCCCACATTGAGTAGTATGAAAGTGGTGTGTGCATGAGTGATGGAGGTAGTCAGAGGGACTGATGGCGCCGATTGGCATGGTAGCTGCGCGTCACTCTGCCCCAAGGCAGTTGGGCTGTAGCTTACCACCACTAGGTATGGAGTGAATGAATAATGCTCTGTAATGCATCTTTGTGACAAATGTCTGTGAAAAGTGCTGTTTATATAAAACTTACTTACTTATCATCTGAAAACCAGCAATAGCAGTGTGGGGAAGTATGCAGTTTAAAGAATACTGAATACTTTAACATATTCATATTTACATTGTCCAAACTACCCAGAATACTTTACATTGCGTTGCATTATATGTCAAAACACAAACATAGGATTGCATCAGCTTTGTATCTGTTGCACTGTTTGCACTGTTTACTTATTTCTAAGTAAAGAAGGAAAAATCTATCATGTACCACAACTTTTTGTCACTAATTCTACACTGCCTGAAGCCTAACTTGCATGATCAGAACTAGAATGTGTTCCTTTGATTTTAGGAAACTATATAGGAAATATATATATATAGGAAACTATATTTTGAAAACAGTAACTTTACCCACAAGGCTACTCAAAATTAGTGTGGTATTGTCCTAGCTTATTCCTGTTATAGGACAGGTTGCAAATTTTGTCCCAGTTTTACAACAATTTTGATGTGTTGCAAGTATGAATGTTCACTGAATATGTATTTTTGCTACTCATATTTAGTTGCTTCTCTGTTACTCCCAGCTTAATACTGCTCACATACTCTGATGTCTGTAGAGATCATGGCCATGGTTTGTGTTGTAATCACTCAGACGTCACTCCTCGCTGACGTCTCCCGGATCCATTCACACTGAGTCATTTGCCTATCTCTGTCTGCACCACACACGCACATTGTCTGTAGGACAATGAGTGGCCTGACCAGAAGGCAGCCTCCAAAAATCTGATCACACACAAGCGTCACCTAGGAGACCGCAGCTCAAAGACTGGAAATTACTTTTGACGAACTGAGAGATGTTAAATGATCTCTCTCACATCTCAGCATGAGATGCGGCTAACACTTTGCATCAAAGAGTATCATCTCCTACATCAAACTTTGTAGGAAATACCATGCTGGTTGTGCTCAAGTGGATATGAATGTGCAATAATAGACCAGAGATAAAGATCCTATATCATACAAAATGGATTCTTGTGAGTGTTAAGTCATGTTATAATGTTGTTACCTCCTCAAAACCATACCTGCAGTTGTATTTTGTTTCATTCACACATGTTTGAGTAATCCTGCATTATTAGTCTGTCTACATCTCCAAAGCACAAAATGCATTGTTCCACCTTTTGATGTGATGAAGCGGTAGTCTTCAACAGCTACCTTTTACCTTTTGTTCAGTAGAGAATGGCAATTCCAAGTTTGAATCATCCAAATTATTCTTGTAAAGGTGTAGGGAGTTTAAAAATACAGTGGAGCACTTCCTGTACAACATAACATCACAACAGAGTGTTTTCTGTTTGAGAGAAGAACTCAGCCTAAATATGCAGGGTTTGTGTGAATGAAACAAAACACAACTCCAGCTGTGTGTTTTGATGAGGAAACATTATACCATAGATCAGAAAATAGCTTAATATGGGATCTTTAATCTACAGATAGGATGATTCTGCATTTGCTCTACATTATGATATTCACTTGTGTTTTGCTCAGCGGACCTCTTTGACATCCTGCTACCGATGCTGAACATTTACCAGGAGTTTGTGCGGAACCATCAGTACAGCCTGCAGGTCCTGGCCAACTGCAAACAGAACCGTGACTTTGACAAACTGCTCAAACAGTATGAGTCCAACGCCGCGTGTGAGGGACGCATGTTGGAGACTTTCCTCACCTACCCCATGTTTCAAGTCAGTCCAGACAGTGATATCTTAAAGTGTTATTAAATTTCCTTATGGCTTAAATAAATGTTTTTTATTCTTAAGATTCCACGGTATATCATCACTCTGCATGAGCTGCTGGCCCACACTCCTCATGAACATGTTGAGCGTAAAAGTCTTGAATTTGCCAAATCCAAACTAGAAGAGTTGTCACGGTATGTCTTATTAATATATGCCATTATTCTAGATATTGTGAGAATGTAATATGGTAATGATAATAATATGCACACGTTTAGAGTGATGCACGACGAGGTGAGTGACACAGAAAACATCAGGAAGAACTTGGCCATTGAGCGGATGATTGTGGAAGGCTGTGACATTCTACTGGATACAAGTCAGACTTTTGTAAGGCAGGGTAAGTGTCAGAGATACAAACGTGCACAGTTCACACTGATACGTAGTAGGTGGCATATGACTTAGAAGTTATATTTATAGTCTATTCTGTTCAGGCTTCATGACTTGTACAGTGTGTCACACATTTGGGGAATTTGTAGTAGACATTTTGCCCTTACTGTTTGTACACTGCACCTAATCTCCTTAAATATGTCACAATGTTATATTTCTTGCAGTAACACACATGTCAGTGGCTGTAAACAGTGCGTGCACATGCCTCAGCTTAGTGTCGGCTTAATGGAATAAAATATAATCCCGTACAGGCTCGCTGATCCAGCTGCCCTCGGTTGAACGAGGAAAACTCAGCAAAGTTCGTTTGGGCTCGTTGTCCCTGAAAAAGGAAGGAGAGCGTCAGTGCTTTCTCTTCACTAAACATTTTCTCATCTGCACGCGCAGCTCCGGAGGCAAACTGCACCTGCTCAAGGTGAGACACCAGCTATAGCTACACTTAGCAGCAGTTAGTATCACTTACTCACATATAACTGCCTACTTTCAAACTTTCAGATATAGTCATTTCATTGTTTTATAAATAGGTTGCTTTCTTACCCTGTTACTGTGCTTTTGATGAAACTCAAAAATATTTTGTCTTCCTTTCTTGACCATATTTCTAAATTGGCTGACTCATAAAGCAGCTAGCACCAGTTACACAGTAGACCAGTCGTGTTACACAAGAAAATAGGTCACTGCTAATAGGCTAGCTCCAGTAGTACTGTTAGTGTTAAATAATTGAATAAAAATAGAACAGTACATTTAAAAAGGAGAATAAGTATGGTACAAATTTTACTTAAAGGTGCATGTTGTAGCTCTCTGGTGGGGAGTCCCGGCTTTGATACCTGGACTTTTCAATCTGTCTTGTACGATTACAAAATGTTTTGCTTGGCACAGATTTTTACTGTGAGTGGGGTTGCCTCTGCACAGATCTGTCATTAACTTGTCTCCATGGAGACAAAGGGTGGTGGACCATCCACCAGAAAAGTTGCACAGAGCACCTGTAAATAATTTCACTTTTCAATCTGTCTTGTACGATTACAAAATGTTTTGCTTGGCACAGATTTTTACTGTGAGTGGGGTTGCCTCTGCACAGATCTGTCATTAACTTGTCTCCATGGAGACAAAGGGTGGTGGACCATCCACCAGAAAAGTTGCACAGAGCACCTGTAAATAATTTCACTAATAAATCTTTAATACCTACCTCAAATTTGCATTTTTACTCACATGTTTAAGATTGTTGTTTGTCAGTGAAACAACAAAATATAGTGAAATGTAATATATATATATATATATATATATATATATATATATATATATATATATATATATATATATATATATATATATATATATATATATAATATGGTAATCCAAAAAGAACAATATAGTAGTTGATACCTTTTAGAACTACCACACTTTACTAGTGCTACTCTTTGACTGTTGATTGCTAAACTTTACAGCAGGGCGGTGTGTTGTCCCTGATAGACTGCACCCTCATCGAGGAGCCAGATGCCAGTGAAGAGGAATGTAAGTGCACTGTGCTTATTTAGACTTCCTACCTTCATAGAGGTTAATTAGATGTCACGCAATAACTGTCTCCAAATGACTCCCCTTTAAATATCAGGTGCATTTTGACATTACCGCTCCATTAATTTCCTATTGCTTCAGTATTTAATGGAACACACTTCACAGACACATTCTAATAATCACTGCACATAAAACATTTCCTCAGGGACAGAAAATGGAATCAGCGGTCAACATAATTAACCTGTGCATGCTCATCTTTTTCCTTCTTTACTTTTCATTTTCATTTGCTGCAAAAGGTAACAATGCTCTTTTAATATGTTTAACACTGTAGCCAAAGCTGGCCAGGGATTTGGTCAGCTGGACTTTAAACTGGTTATAGAACCATCGGACCTGCCTTCTTTCACTGTGGTTCTCCTCGCACCTTCTCTGCAAGAAAAGGCTGCATGGACCAGTGACATTAGCCAGGTAATAAACAGTTCCTCCCACACATGTATGTGTATGCCCAGACAACCTGCAGCAAGCTACAAATAGAGTCCACTGAGAATTGTGAGGCATAGTGTTTGAAAAACAATGTAGTGGATAAGCTCCCTTGGGAGACTGCAGCTTAATAAATAAATAATGCAGTTGCACTAACAGAAAAAACAAGTTCTACGCCATTATATAAAACTTCCTTTGACATGTGCTAGCTAGTTACTAAATATTATCTACATTCACAAGCCAAAGAGTGTAAACAATGGAATCTATTAGTTGTTGTTAGTTGAATAAATACAGGGGTAATTTCTCTCTTATTATCTCTCTGCAGTGCATTGATAACATTCGTTGTAATGGCTTGATGACAAGTGTGTTTGAAGAGAATTCCAAAGTTACTGTGCCTCATATGATCAAGTAAGTGTGTGTGTATTCATGCTAAGCATACTTTAATTTCACATTGGTTTTTACAAGGTCAACATTTATTTAACATTGGAATTATACAGTTTTTGATGTCGTTTTGCACTTATTATGGTTTTTAAAGAGGTTATTCATTTAGCTCTTTTGTAATAATCTTATACTTTCTTGCCCAACAGTCACCCATGCTTGCTTGTGTCTGTATGTGTGTACATGATTTATTAGATCCGATGTCCGTCTCCATAAAGATGATGTTGACATTTGCTTCAGCAAGACGCTCAACTCCTGCAAGGTCCCGCAGATCCGTTACGCCAGTGTGGAGCGCCTCCTGGAGCGGCTCACAGACCTGCGCTTCCTCTCCATTGACTTCCTCAACACTTTCCTGCACACGTATAGGATCTTCACCACTGCCGCTGTGGTCATGGACAAGCTCGCAGATATCTACAAGAAACCCTTCTCTTCCATCCCCATCAGGTCATTATACTAACCACTAATGTAACTAATATAACAGTATGGCATGTGTCTATGAACTGCTTCTTATTCTGCTAAACTTAGTATTATCATGAGTAAAATGTTACCTCATCTTTTACTTCATGATTGACTAAAAAAGAAGTGCTATACTGTAGTCATTATTCATTCACTTCACACTTGGAGATGATGAGCTACTATTGTAGCCACAGCTGCCTTGGGGCAGACTGGTGGAAGCAAGGCTGCCAATCTACACCATTCCTGACCACCACCAGCCATTCACCACCAAACAGTGACTGAAGTGTTTTACCTAAGGACACCATGGCAGAACCTGGTCTGATCTGGAATCGATCAGCTGCCCCCTTTTCAAAAAAAAAAAAAAAAAGACAAAAATTTAAAAGATACAAATAAATTCAAGGTTTTAGCACAAAACTTGGACTCATGGACAAACACTAGGAGCAGGGCATTTGAATGAGACGTGAGTGAGTAAACATCAAGTTTGAAATAATCCTGGAGAAAAGGGAAGGATTATGGAAATAGCTGAAGAATTCCAGATCAATCAGCCCGTCATATTGATGCAGAAAGTAGTAAGTAGTTGTTCATGCTCTCATCAATGGTCAGATTTTTGTAGAATAAGTCTTCTAATGTCATGAAATGATGTCACAGCATCAGCTAATATTATAAGAAACAATTATGCAAAATGGACACAGACAATTTGCATGTAACAGGGTAGAACAGCTGTACAGGCGTCTGGTAAAGGACATATTTACATTTCACTTTAGGTTTAAAATTACCTCAAGTGCTTTTCACATCCAGAGGAGGTGCCTCGTTCTGACTAACCCTTGCTCAAAAGTGGTGCTAAACCATTTATTGTTGGAAGCCAGTACAACTTAAATGCATCTCCGTGTACCGGTAAATGTTATTTCAGCCGTGTAGCTAGCTCATACTGTTTATTTGTCCAGTCCTTTATAAGGGCTATGTCAAGTACCAATGTTTAGTGCTTTTCTGTGTCCTCATATGGCACCATAAGCTGTTGTTAGTTTATTTTTTCCCTCTTTTTTCCCCACTTTTAAAATAGATTTGGGTTAGGATTTATTGAATAGAACAGTATGGAATGGATGCTGAGCGGGGAGAGACTTTCAGCATACTGTAACAGTCAGGAAATAATCTCACAAACACAATTGAGCATATTAATGGTTTTCAGGTTCCTGTTATAGGTGACATTTTGAAGACATTTCACAGAGATAGAATATTTTGTTTAAAATTGTGAATTGCTATGGCAGTTGTCCTATTTTTCTCATTCTGAAACCTATGCATAGGTGAAACAGCCTAAACCATGACCATTTGCTTATAATATTTTCTGTTTCATTAATTTGACACATAAAATTATTTACACAACCCTACCTGTGTTGTCCAATTAAGTTCGGTTTTATATATATGTATAAAATAAATAGAGGTTTGTACATAATATTCAACTATAACTTACTATATGTCTTCTGTGTATGTCTTGTCAACATCAAGAGTTATTCATTGTAATTGTTTTTATCTGTGGTCCACCCTCATGTTGCCCACAGCTACCGGACGCAGTATCACTCATTTGATCGTCTGTCCATCTCATCCATCTGTCCTGACTACAGCACCAGGATCAAGAAGATAACCATCGACCAGTCAAAGTAACACGCTCTGCCTGTTTCTTTCCTCTTCTTCTTCTCCTCCTCCTCCTCCTCTTCCTCCTCCACCTCCTTTAGTCCTTTGTGCATGGATTCATGAGTGTGCTTTGTTATAACAGACAGGGTTTGTGTTCAGATGTCTTCACCCAGGATCCTGTGGTGACATTGATACTTTCTCTACAGGACATTACTTAATCAATAGTCTTTATGCTCAAATCTATATTCCACACATCTGACTCTCCTTCAGTTCTCTTCTTCCTCTTGGTTTCTTTCCCACTTTATAATAAATAGTTCTTCTGTCAATGCATAATTTTAACTCTGGCTTCTGCATGATTACTCATATGACAATTACAAAACAATACTGGTGACATATTGTAAGTTGTATTGTTGAATGGAGGACATGCATCAGTGAGTCACAGCATCTTACTAGGATCTTAACTGTAATAAAGGGATTACACTTTAATATTTGATATTGATTTGCGGATCTTTCAAATGCCACTGAAAATATTATAAATGAGATCTCTCTTTAGATTAGTAGCTTGTCCATTAGGATAAGGTTGTAGGGATGGTAATATTCACTAATAATATAGTCACTAAGTAAATCGATTGGGAACTGACCTATGTACCTATAAATACCTATATATACTATATGTACAATTATGTGTGCAGAATCTTCAGAAATGCTGTATTTACAGTCATTATTACTTTAGTGCATCCTTCCTTTTCAGGTCTTTGGAGTTGTTCTTTGCCACCAGTCAAAACAACAGAGGTGGGGACCACATTAATGATAAATCTCCTCGTCTTTGCCGCAAGTTCTCCTCCCCGCCCCCCCTGTCCATCCAGTCCCGCACCTCGTCCCCTGTACGGATGCGTAAACTGTCCCTCCACTCTCCAGTCACATCCAAGGTGGGAGGTCTGGACCTGACCAGTCCTGTGTCCAACCCTACCCTGAACCACAACAGCTCCCAGTCTGCAGGCAGCAGCCCCACCTCAGCCAGCACTCCTCAGACCCCCACCCCCCAGACTCCGACCCTGAGTGCTGTGTCTCCCCCTCCTCCCTCCACCTCCCCTCCTCATGGCAACCCCACCTCCCCTCCACATAGCAACGGCAGGCTGCCCCAGGACCATGCCCCTCCCATCCCATCATCTCCAGACCAGAGCACCAGCCCCAATGCAGAGGGGGACGAAGTGCCCAGAGCTGACCCCTTCTGTGGCAAACTGCGCCGCAGCATTCGCAGAAGTAAGATAGTTCATTTTACTATCAAAGAAGTTGTCAAATTTACCCCTCATCATTACTCAAAGTGGTATTTTGAGTAATCCATATTTGAATGATCCATTATTATCCTGCATTTAAGGCTTTATTATTTAGACAATTTCAGTTTTCACCTACCCCCTATCCATTTTATTTAGCATTTTATTTCCTTGTGATTAGTTGAAAAATCCAGGCATGTACATAAAAAATGCTTGAAAGGCTGCCATTAAGAGGCGGTGCTTGTAGCAGAGAATTAGTTTAACAGTTTTGAACAGGAAGTCAATTAACCTGTTTCTATTCTCAAATTGTAAGTGATTATAATTTAAGATAATGGTCTACATACGTGACCATTAATTGCTAAATACCAGAAAAAAGACTAATATGTCTTCCTTAACTTTTCATATAGCTTTAACATGTTGTTTATAATAATAATTATAATAACACACACATTACATCTATAATATATATACAGTACCTTATTTTATCACTATCACATGCTCCCTACAGTAGATACTGTATATGAATCCAGTGTTCTCAGTAGGAACAACCTCACAGGACGCCATTATCTCCCTTGTACTGGTGCTCGTGTCCACTCTGATGAGTTTGTGCAGTTAGTGTTTGCACATTGGGGCCAGGCCTGTGTTAAACCTTCATTATCAAAACACATAGAACAGCAATATATGTGCTTTGGTAACTGTCTACCCTGTAGTGACATTAGATGTTCAAACCTCCTCTACATCCCTTTTAAGGACAGCTAGATTTTTAGAGCACATTAGTTTTGATGTGATTCATTCTACCTGCAGATATCTACTGGTTTCAGCTCACTGTTCAAGATATAGTATTTAGTTTTAAAATGTTAATTGCTATAGCAAAGCTCTTAATTTGTTACCATTCTGAAACTATGGACATGCATTTTACTGCAACACAATGATAAGCATTTTGCCTGAATTGCTAACAAAAATAACATAATATTTAAAATGTGAAAATGTGTATTTAAGCCAACCAAAGAGAGTCTCGAGAAAGTGAAGTATTGGTGTCAGTTCCATGGGCAAGTATTTAAAAGGGTAAATTAAGTAAAAGTCTCCATGCCACTGCATGCTTAGGGGTAATTGTGTTACCCTGCAGATTAAATCAAAATATGGAATGCTGTTTCCTCATCACGAACATACTTGGAGTTGTGTTTTGTTTAATTCACACATGTTTAATACACAAAGCCTGCATATTTAGAGTTCTTCTTTCAAACAAAAAACACTCCACCTTGTGATATTGTGTGGTAATACCAGAAGTCAATCAATCAATCAATCAATCAAACTTTATTTGTATAGCACTTTTCATACATTTAAAATGTAGCACAAAGTGCTTCACATGCAACAGAAAAATTACAATACAATAATTAAAATCAAGAGCAACCCCCCACCCCATCCCTTTGTTTCATCCATATATACAACCATTTAAACATAAACATAAAAACAAAAACATAAAACTCCTAAAGGTTATTATAAAAATCAAAATGGAGACAAAGTAAAACAGTAATGATAATTTAATTTAGAATAAATAAATAATAATAATAATAATAATAATTTAAGTTAAGACAGATAAAAGTTTCAATTAAAAGCTAAATTAAAAAGATAGGTTTTGAGCTTACTTTTAAAAATATGAACACTCGCAGCGGACCTCAGATCCTCAGGCAGACTGTTCCACAAACGGGGGCCATAAAAGCTGAATGACGCCTCACCGTGAGTTTTAGTTTGGACTCTTGGGACAGTTAAAAGAAAACTACCTGAGGACCTGAGAGTCCGAGAGGGCTCATATGATAAAAGCAGATCAGATAAATAAATAGGACTAAGACCATTAAGAGCTTTATAAACTAATAAAAGAACTTTAAAATCTATCCTGAACGCTCACAGGAAGCCAGTGCAGAGACTTCAGTACTGGGGTGATGTGCTCTCGCTTCCTGGTCCTTGTCAGCAGTCGTGCTGCAGAGTTTTGGAGGAGCTGCAATGGAGCTGTAGATTTCTTTGGAAGACCAGAAAGGAGAGCATTGCAGTAATCAACACGGTTTGTAATAAAAGCATGTATTAAAATCTCAGCACTGGCTTGAGAGAGAAATGGTCTGACTCTGGCAATATTTTTTAGATGATAAAAACCGGATTTAGTGATGGACCTGATGTGTGGCTCAAAGCTAAGCTCACTATCAAGAATAACTCCTAAACTTTTCACCCTCTCACAGGGGTTCAGTGAGTAGGTTTGGAGCTTAGCTTTGAGCCTCTCTCTCTGAGCTTCAGGACCAATAATTAAAACCTCGGTTTTGCCCTGGTTGAGCTGCAGGAAGTTTGCTGCCATCCAGGACTTAATATCTAAAATGCAGTTAAAAAGGGTGTCGATCGGGCTCAGGTCACCAGGAGACACGGCTATATAGAGCTGGGTATCATCAGCGTAGCTATGAAAGTTAACACCGTGTCTCCTGATGACCTGTCCTAGTGGCAGCATGTAAAGATTAAAAAGGGTTGGACCTAAAATTGAGCCCTGGGGAACACCGCACTCCATTTTACATTTTGCGGAGGAGTGTTCCCCAAGACTAACATAAAAATCCCTGTTTGTTAAAAAAGATTTGAACCAGTTAAAAACAGACCCAGAGAGACCGACTGCATAATGTAATCTATCTAGTAAAATACAGTGGTCTACAGTGTCAAATGCTGCCGTGAGATCCAACAGCACCAGGACTGACAGGTTCTTCTTGTCCATGTTGGATCTTATATCATCGAGGATTTTTACTAGTGCAGTCTCTGTGCTGTGGTGAACTCTAAAACCAGATTGATGAATTTCAAAGATATTGTTGGCAATCATAAAATCATTAATTTGGTTAAAAACTATTTTCTCTAAAATTTTACTTAAAAACGGCAGATTGGACACAGGTCTGTAGTTACTGAGCAGGGAGGGGTCCAGGTTGTCCTTTTTAAGCAGAGGTTTGACCATAGCAGTTTTGAGTGGTGTTGGAAAAACCCCTGTCTGCAGCGACAAATTTACAATGTTAAGGACTTCTTGGGCTAAAAAATTAAAAACTGATTTAAAAAGTGATGTAGGGATAGGATCTAAAAAACAAGTGGCTGGTTTCAATTGTAAAATTATTTTGTTAAGAGTCGTAGCATCAACCAGGGCAAAACTATCAAGTGTGTTTGATAAAATCAAAGGACTTGTAATACAGATGTTACTTGGTTGTATCTGTTGCAGGTCAGCTCTAATGGACTGTATTTTATTGCTGAAGTAAGTCACAAAATCCTCACAGTTTGGCATGTTTGATGGCTCCTTCCAATTACGAACAGGGTCGATAACCGAACTAATCGTGGAGAATAGAATCCTGGGATTTTTAATGTTATTTATAAGTTGGGAGAGGTATGCTTGTCTTTCGCTTTTCATACCATTATTGTATTTTCTCACTTGTTCACGGTAAATTTCATAGTTTATTGTAATTTTATTCTTGCGCCATTTTCTTTCTGCTTTTCTACAATTTTGCTTCAGTTGTCTTGTTTTTTCATTTTTCCAAGGAGAAGAAGTGCTCCACTGTGTTTTTAAACTCCATACACATTCAATATAATCATTTAGATAATTTCAGTTCTGAATTCCCATTCCTGCTGAACTAAAGGTAAAAAGTAGCTGTTAACTTTTAAACTACAATTGCATGGCACCAAGGTGGAACAGAGCATTTTGATCTTTGGTGTTATAGACAGACTAATAATAAAGGGTTGCTCAAACATGTGTGAACGAAACAAAACAGAACTCCACATATGTTTTTGAGGAGATAACAACATTCTAATATGACTTAACATTCTCAAGAGTCACTTTTGCATAATATAGGACATTTAAACTGGGCTAAAACCACGATCAAACCAGGAAAAGTGTGTGAATGCAGTGGGTTTAGCACCAGGATATTGAGTGCAGCAGCCTTATCATGATTCCTTCTATCCCTGATTTGTGCTTTAGCGGTGCTGGAGTCTGTGTCATTGGAGAAAATCCTTCCTGAGTCCCCCCAGAGCAGTGAAGCAGGAGATATGTCGCCATGCCGATCCCCTTCCACACCTCGCCACCTCCGCTATCGCCAGCCTGGAGGTAAGACGGCAACGCTTCCTGGTTTAGGAGCATACAGTGAGAAATGGCTCAATTAGCTGGGCATAGAAAACATAGCAGGTCTGTTACACCCCTGACAACATAACTAAAAAGGAATTAGCAGAATTTCATAGCTTGTTTTTGGATTCCTTTAAAGAGCTGTTTTCTGATTTATGTTATAATGTTGTTTCCTCATCAAAACGTGGAGTTGTGCTTTGTTTCGTTCACACATTGTATTTATCACACAAACATAAACAGGCGAGAGTTCTTCTCTCAAATGGAAAACACTCCGCCTCCCACCTTGTGATGTCATGTGGTAGTACAGGAAATGCACCACTGTGTTTTTAATTACACCATCACCAAAATCATCACCGGAAACTACTGCTTCATAAGATCACAAGGTGGAACAAAGCATTTTGAGCTTGGACATGTAGACAGACTAATAATGCAAGATTACTCAAACATTTCACTCAATAATTTTGTTAATGCCAAGTTGTGTTGCTTATTTATTTTTATTTATCGCCATATTATCTATCAATATTACACCCAGACAAACAGACACAAAAGCAAAAGCTGATGTCAGAAGTAAACTGACATGTGTATAATAAACATTTAAATGATATGGTTAAAGTGTCAGTTGCCATGGGTGACAAAACATATGACTCCAATAACGCTCCTTAGAGACAGTATACAAGCTGCTGACTGAGCATATGTGAAGTATAGTGTAATAAACAGTCACCATCATCTCCTTTTAGGATTATAATCACTGAAGGAAAGAGCTGCAAATGTCTTGGTGGCACAACGCAGGTCTAGAGAAGTCCATGGTGTGACTAATTTGGTCTATTTCGGTGCAAAAGGGACATTTTCAAAGTGATAATTAGGTGGTCTTTATGTGGTGTAGGTCTGTGGATGTGTGGTTATCGTGGAGCTTGCATTCACAGCGCTCTTGAATTGGGTGTCATAATTTCAAATGGAGGACAGGGACCTCTATAACTCTATGGGAGATTAAATGTTTTTGAAAGAAATGACTAAACTGAAAATTCACAAATGTTTGAACTTTATATTTTTGTTTGGGATCATATCCATGAACTTGCTCTGTTAATCTTTGTGTCTTAAAGACTTTCAGCTAAAGGCATGCTTGTGTGCCTGAATAATGCCACCATTTTGAATATCGGAACTGGAAATTTATTTTTGTGGACCTAAAAGAAACTGTGTTAACTGTGAATCAATGAAACATCTGCATTTTAATTAGTGTTCAGTGTTAAACTATTGTTCCTTAAAAATCCTATAATACACATAAATTATTTTTGTGAGCTTTAAACCATGTTACAATTTTGTAACCTCATAAAAAAATAAATAAAAATAAAAATAAAAACATACAGATTTGAGTTTAGTTTCATTCACTCATGTTTAAATAATCCTTTATTATTTTGTATTAGTCTGTTTACATCTCCAAAGCTCAAAATGCTTTGTTAACAACTACCTTTTACCTTTAGTTCAATAGAGATTAGCAATTCCAGGACTGAAATCAACCAAATGATCCTACTGAAGGTGTATGGAGCTTAAAAACATATTGGAGCACCTTCTGTTTTACCACATAACATTACAAGGTGGAGTGCTTTCACTTAGAAGAGAGAAGAACTAAATATACAGGGTTTGTGTGTTAAATATATGTAAATGAAACAAAACACAACTCCAGGTATGTTTTTACGAGGAAACATTATAAAGTACAGTAGATGAGAAAATAGCATTATATTGACCCTTTAAGTTACTGTTGTAATAGTTGATTACCACATGTACAATTTCATGGCGTGTGTTTTTAGTCCAGTCTGCAGAAAACTCTCGTCACTCAGTTTCTCCAGCTTCGGCCTTTGCTATCGCCACCGCCGCCGCAGGACACGGGACTCCACCAGGTAAGACCCCGGAGACAAACCAAGGGATGAAAAACTCTAGCAAAAGAGCTACATTGATTGTGACTGTGTTTTTTTTTTCTGTTTTCATTTAAATTCCAGTATTTACAAACTCTGAAAGAACGTGTGATAAAGAGTTCATCATCCGCAGAGCTGCGACTAACAGAGTCCTGAATGTGCTGCGCCACTGGGTGTCCAAACACTCACAGGTCAGTCCACTCACCCACTGTACCCACTGTATGCACTGGGCTATAAATATATATGAGAAAGAGAGAGAAAAGGAGAGACAGAGAGAAGCAGGGAGAGAGGGAGAGAGAGAGGGAGAGGGAGGTAACGGGAAAGAGAGCTAGAGAGAGGGATGGAGGTGGGGTGGGAAGAGGTAGAGAGAGAGGTTGAGAAAGACAGAGCGAGGAGGATTGAGAGAGAGTGACAGAAGGAGGTAAAGCGACAGAGAGTGAGAGATGGGCTTAGGAAGAGAATGAGAAGGACTGAGAGAGGGGTGATAAAATAAAGAGAGAGGGGGGAGAGAGGGAGCGAATAAGCGAGAGAAAGAGAGAAGGCTAAGAGTGGAAAGGGAAAGGGAAGAGAAGTGAGGGTGAGAGAGAGAAAGAGATATAGGATGGAATAAAGAAAGATGTAGAGGAATGGGGGGCAAGGGAAAGAACAGACGGGGAGTGAAAGAGAAAGAAAGGGGGTTAAAGGCAGGGAGGATGGTAGTGAGAAGAGAGAGATGGTGGAAAAGAGACCACAGAAAAGGTTTATAGACAGAGGGAGGGGGAGAGAGGAGTTGCTGAGGAAGAGAGAGGCAGAGATAAGAGATAGAGAGAGAAAGAGACAGAGAGGGGTGAAAGAGGATGTGGGGGCAGAAGAGTGTGTTTGAGAGAGAGAAAGATAGGAGAGGGAGAGAGGGAGATTGCTCATGTTCTTCTACATTAAGATCTATGGTCTCATTAGAGGGGTTTCTTCTTGCTCTGATGCATTGGTTTTTACAGTAACTACACTCACTATCACTGCCCTGAGCCAAGTGGTCAGCTCTCTCCCTTCTATTCTCCTACTAAGCAGCTGGTGTTGCCTGTAATGAATTGAACATGAAGATAATTGTCTGACTGCTGCTCAGGGGTGCTCCTAGCCCTACTGTATTGATTAGGTTTATGCTCTTCCTTCAATAATACCAAACGCCGTGTTGACAGGTCCACTTTAATTGGTCTATTAACACTGAAAGAGGCCATGGCGCAAATGCGTACACCCACTCACTCCAGGAACAAAGAGCTTGTTAACCAACCTTTAAACGCAGTGAAAAGGGAGAGATGTGCAGAAAAAGGACTTCATGTAAAAGCAATGGTTTTATCCAGGAAAGAGCGCTCAGCAAATTCAGGAGCCAGCGGGCCTCATTAGGTTTATGATACACAATGGAAAGACCAGCTAATACAGAGATTTAAGGTAGTTGTAGCTGAGTATAAAGGTGTTGTCTCGATTCAAACTTGATTTCAAACTCAATTTTAATCCAAAGAAAACTCTTACCCAAAGCCACTGCACTGATCTAGTGTTTTTTTTTTTAAATCAACGATTAACTCCTGTCTCCAAGCTTCATATTATAATCTTATATATGCAATTTTTAACTTTCAGTCATAACAGATTTAAATCACTTTAACATGTTGCCATGTTCAGGAGTATTGACATAGGGCCAAACGTGTATCTAGTTCTGTACTAGTTTCATATAGAGTAGATTTTTTGCAGCTCTGTCCTATTTACTGATGCTTTGACAGGCAAGATATCTCTCTATAGGCTATTATTCTAGATCCCAGGTAAACAGATAAGAATCCCACACAGAAAATATATATAATTGTAAATATAAATTGTCATATTATAACTATATATGGGATTGTGATTCATGGATACAAGAATGTAAAAAAAGTTGCTCTGCTTTTCCTGGTGAGCTTGCTTTATAATGTTAATATCTGGATGTGTATTGTGGTTGTTCAGGACTTTGAAATGAATGCTGAATTGAAGATGTCTGTGGTGTGTCTCCTGGAGGAGGTTCTTCGAGACCCAGACCTACTGCCTCAGGAGAGGAAAGCCACTGCTAACATACTGAGGTACAGTGGTGCATTCAAGTGCTTTCAAAATGTAGGTGTAAATAATGTCTACAGCAAAGTCAACATTCTGTATCTGTTTCAGTGGTCTCTCACAGGATGAAATGGAGGAGTCCCAACTAAGGATAGAGGATATTTTACAAATGGTGAGAACAATCTTAACCTGTTGGGAATTCTGATTGCACGATTGTCTGTGCAAAATAGAATGATCTATCTATCTATGTATCTATGTATCTATCTCTATCTCTATCTCTGTCTCCTTGTCTGAATCCAGTGTTCAAATATCTGCAGCCCTTAGCCCTACAGCGAGGAGCAGTTGTCACAAACTATATCTGTCATAGCATCTTAATTTAGATCTTTCTAATCTTGTTCACCAGGCCTGGCCCATGGTGTGAGCATCTGTGCGTTGTTAACTGGACTGTGGCTCTGATTGAATGTAGATGTAAATATATGTTCTGTTTCTGTGTTTAGGCGGACTGTCCGAAGGCTGAGTGCTTTGAGTCTCTGTCGGCGATGGAGCTAGCAGAGCAAATAACACTACTGGACCATATTGTCTTCAGAAGCATCCCCTATGAGTCAGTCTATTTTTTTAATCTTTTTATTTTTTATTTATTTTTGCATTTTTTATGGTACCTCGATAATTCCATGGAAATAGAAAGTTAAAGCCATACTTAGGAACATTCTCCATGGTGAAGAAATTGATTTTTTTTTTCCATAACGTGGAAGATTATAACTAATAAACAACATTTATATGGAAAAATAAGAGTCAGGGTTGTGGAGATGCATGTTTTTACAACTTCAGTAAACACAACCAAAATGGAACATACATGCTTTTATTTTAATCTATTTTTTAGCTAAAAAGTTACATACTGTGGCTTTGAGTTTAAAGTCAAGTAACTTTTCTTGTAGGGAATCCTCCAGCTGTCCTCAGGACGTTACTTCATTGCCTGGAATGTTTCACTGTATGGCATTAACTATATGTATATCCTGCATTTATTAATTTATGGACTGCAGAATAGCTTCAAAACATTTCTGTGAGTGGCCATGAATGTGAACTGGAACTATTCAAACTATAGATTTTGAAAGAATAAATATTCATAGGAATAGGTTTGTATATCACGGTTTTACAGTGGTAAGACCTAAATGGAACTAGAGACCATGTGATAATGCGATGTATAGAACTTAATGTGTAAATGTGAATGATTGTGCAGAGTAAATAAAATATGGGGTGTATAGCATTATCTAAAAATGTGTTACATAAATCATTATTAAAGGTGTATTATGTAACTTTTTGGATGGGAGTCCATTCTGCTTCTTTCTATAGATATGTCATTGTTTTGCCTGAAATGTTTCACAATATGACATTAAAAAGATCTACCTTACATTTATTTAATTACAGATGTTTTTATTGCTCAAAAATACCTTGAAAAACTGTGAGCGGGGTTGCGTCTCCACAGATCTGACTAGTAACTTAGTCTGGGTTGGTCTCCATGAAGATAGAAAGCTACCTTTACTACCGTACTGTGAAACACAACCAGACAAAGCAATTACATCTCCACAGAGAAAAGCATTTGATGGACCCTCCACCAGAAAGGTTACACAATGCACAATAAAGGCATTATTATTATCATGATAAGGTTTTTTCTATTGCTTGCCTCACCACTGTTGCCTGGAGTTAGTGAGTGTTTGTAGTAACTCTTTCAGGGCATTTCTCATGCCATAAATGCTTAATGTGATTTTCTGATCCCCCCCCCACTCATATACAGAGAGTTCCTGGGCCAAGGCTGGATGAAAGTAGACAAGACCGAGCGCACGCCTTACATCATGAAAACCAGCAAGCACTTTAATGATGTGAGCATGGAACCACATTCTTACTTTTGCTTTAAGGCTCTCTTTTAATAAGTTGCATTCACATTGTAGCATTTGATTATGTTATAATTTCAAATGGAGGGCAAGGGCTTATGTAATTCTATGGGAGATTCACTGTTTTTGAGAGAAATATACAAACTTAATCCTACAGTTTAGTTTACAGTTTAGTCCATTCTTAAACTTAGACAACCTTGATCCACAAGGGAAATTATCTGGACACTGTCGCTCACACATCACAACATATTATAATAACAAAGAGCAACAATATAAATGATAATAATGTTGTTTTTTAAAAGTACCAAAAATAGCAAGAGATTGGTGTCAAATAAGGCATCGTTATACAAAGGTATATATACAAGTAAAAATAAAATACAGGAATATTGTACAAGTAAAATAAAATACAGAAATATTGTAATACAAAATATATCGTCTGTATAGAAGAGGTTGGTAAGAGGAAACAGTACAAAGATGAAATAGTGATTGACGTGACATAGGGTTATCTATTCAGGTACCTTGGTCACGTCTTTGATGTTGAACAGTGGCCCTGCTTCCTGAAGCTACTGTGAAAAAAGTATTTCTCATTGTTTATTTATATCGATAGTGAAGTCTTTATGACTGAAAGTCATACAGAGATATTTACCATAAACAAGGTAAACAAATCTGCAATCTGACAGCTGAATGACCTATACTACACAATTTTCTGATCTAATTTCAGCCCTGAAATTTCCAGTCTCTACTGAAAAAAGGATAAAAGGTAGCTATTAATTTGAAAACTACCACTTGGAAGTTGGAAAAGAGCATTTTGAGCTTTTGAGATGTAGACAGACTAATAATAAAGGGTTACTTAAACCATTTATTATGAATGTGAATGAAATAAAAAACAACTCTGGGTATGTTTTTGATGAGGCAACAACATTATAATGGATATGGATGGATGGATTAAAGATCATAAGAGTCAAATTTGGACCATAAGACAGCAAATTCCACTGAAGAATTCTCACCTCACACGACCTGTTCTTCTTGTTTGGCTTCCATACAGATGAGTAACCTGGTGGCGTCTCAGATCATGACCCACACAGATGTAGGCTCGAGGGCCAGCTCTATAGAGAAGTGGGTGGCTGTGGCTGACATCTGCCGCTGTCTCAACAACTACAACGGCGTCCTGGAGATCACCTCTGCTCTTAACCGCAGCGCCATCTACCGCCTGAAGAAAACCTGGGCCAAAGTCAGCAAGCAGGTGCTGTACACATCCTATGTACGGGAGGCAGTAAATCAGGGAAATCTGAGAATATTCAGGCTTATTAACTACTTAAGTTGAGGGTTTGGGCTAGAAGTTAGTGGCACAAGAAAAAAAAACAATTCTTTCAATACAATTCTGATTCCTAATTTGGCTTTTTTTAGGTTTAAAATTTTACAATTATGATTTGAGAAATAAAAATGTAAGAAAACACAAATAACAATGAAACAATATTTTAATAAATAATAAAGTATTGGGAAAATAATATTTTCTTGTGCTTAAATTGTGCCATAGAGAACTCTACTCTCTTGTGTAATTTTCAAGATATTTTCAACTTTTCTTCAATATTCATTCATTCACTGATACTTGATTTGTGTGAAAAAAAAAAAAAAAAAAAAAAATATATAATATATATATATATATATATATATATATATATATATATATATATATATATATATTTTTTTTACAACAGATATTATCCCACTAAATTAAATAAAAATCTGTTCTTCGAGTAGTTGTTTATTGGGGCTTAGAGAAGTGTAGTTATTATAAAGACGCGTCACCAAACTTGCTGATATATTAATGAAGTGTGTGAATGGACAATAAGGGCAACAGTAGCTAAGTCGGTGAGTGTTTGTCCACTGATCTGAAGGCTGGCAGTTTGAATCCCGCTCTCAACATTAACATTGGTAGAGCGGTCAGATCCACTGACCCACAGGTTGGTGGTGCCATTCAAGCTTCCACAGATGAATGCTGTTATTGTGTCCTTGGACAAGACACTTAGCCCACCTTGCATCCAGTGTCTGTGTGAAGATAAAAATGACTGGGTGAGTGATTCCTTGATGTAAACTGCATTCAGTGCCTAGAAGGTGGAAAAAGGCTATATAAAAATGTGACCATGATCATTTACCGTTTACCATAGACTGTGGGCGAAGATTGGCAGCCATGTCTGTCAAAAATTATTAATGCAATGTAAAGCACCTTTAAGTCTCAAAAATAGTGCTATATAAATTCAGTACCTTATTAAATGTAAAGTCTATTTCAATTATTTCTTTTTATGTGTTCTTTTAGACTAAAGCACTGATGGACAAACTGCAGAAGACTGTGTCATCAGAAGGTCGCTTCAAAAATCTGAGGGAAACTCTAAAAAAGTAGAACATGATTTCATCTGATGTTGCTACAGCTGGGCCTGACAGTGTTAGTGTAACCTCTGACCTTTACTCTGTCCTTTAGCTGCAACCCTCCTTGTGTGCCATATCTGGGAATGTATCTGACAGACTTGGCCTTTATTGAGGAAGGAACACCAAACTTTACCGAAGAGGGTCTCGTTAACTTCTCCAAGATGAGAATGGTGAGCCCATTAAGTAAATGTGATTTAAAAATACACTGGTTTAAAAAAAAATTGTGAAAAAAACAAAAAGCAAAACAAACAAACAAAAAAAACCCCATATCTAACTATATCTTCCTCAGATTTCCCATATCATCCGAGAAATTCGACAGTTCCAGCAGACTCCATACAGAATAGAGCACCAACCCAAGGTACCTCTACCCCTTTTTCAATTCACAATTTAAAGACTAGATTTCTCTATAGGATATACTATAGATTATAAGAAAAACGTACAATATCCTATGTCAATATCACTTTCTTTCTTATAAAATTTTATGTGGCCTTACACTAGTATAGGTCAAAAAAATCCAGGAAAGATTCAATTTTCTCCTATTAATGGTTTTTCAATATAGATACTTGTTCAAATGATTATAACTTCTCATCACAATAATATCACTCTCTGAGAGCCCTAGTTTATAAATCTGTCTAAAGGAAATTGTCCATACAGTGCATGTGGAGCAGCATGAAGCATATTCCAAGTTCTTTATTTTCAGACAATTTGAAACACATGGAGCTGAAACAGACGAAACTGCTGTTTATTTCTCTGCAGGTGACCCAGTACCTGTTGGATAAGACTCTGATCATGGATGAAGACACACTATATGACCTCTCCCTGAAGATCGAGCCCAGGCTTCCAGCTTGAGTAGGGGGGGGCTGCTATTGGCCAATGATTGCAGGACCCTACGGCTACATGGCCATTTCATCTTCTGATCAGTGCAGATGGAAGAGTGAAGCAAAGTTATGACAGCTTTGTGCATAGAACAATGAGAAAGACTGATGTCATGAAGATATCCGCTGATGTGGGATTCAGCTGTGAATGGGGTTGCAGAACTATGGCACTTTGAGAGCAGGAAAGTGACAGATGTTATGGAGCTGGTAGGAAATGGTTTAAAACGAATGGCATGCTGCTGTGCACTCATTATTGATAGTGAAACAGGCAGATCGGGGAAGCTGGAGAGTTTGTCTGCGTGGTGGGAATTGATCAAAACTATGGATTTTACTGATGTAGCAAATACAGAGTGTGTGGAGGAGCAGTTTTGGATAGTTTTTGTAGTCTTTGTTCTGCTGCCTGTGCATTTCTGTTTTGCATTTTACTCAGAGCATGTCTCCCTACATGCTTCTGTCATGACAAAGAGCTAGCATGATTTGAGCTCAAGATATTACTGCGCAAAAGGCCTTCATCTTGACCCTGATTCTGCCTTATACTCAGATACTGGTCTATGCCACTATTGCATCCTCAGTGTTGGATATGCTCTCTGTTACATACAAACAGAAAAATGTGACATGCTTGATGTTTTTATTTTTTGTACCTAAGAATGCTAAAAATATATGTGAATGATGTTAAAGGTTATACATTTTTGTGCCTTCTAATAGTTTATGGGTCAGTGTTTCAACAGTGTTTGCAACACCCCCTTAGCCACCATCCCAAATTGTACACTCTTAGTTTAAAATCGTCTACAGGTCCTCCATGGTCAGTAAAACAATAAAACAGGTCGTAGGTAATCGTAGCATGTTAGTGCTGATTAAGTGAATCATTGCAACCAATATCCCTCTGGTGTTTAGTCAGTTCCTGAACTTGTGCAGTTTTTGTGCTCAGTTAGGTAGACTGGACACAGGCTGGACAGGCCCTGCATTCTTCAACATGTAGCTTTGCTAGAGTGAGAATTACTGTTATTATCATGCTATTTATTTATCCTAAGTTTTTTTTTTTTTTGCTATTTTTTTGTAAAACTGGTGATTATAAATTGTTATGCTGTAAATATGGATTGCTTTTATCTTGTTGGTCCTATAGATTGAATTTTGCATCCCATGCTTTTTTATGGCAAGATACTTGTTGAAGTACATTCTAAAGAATAAAAAACAGTTTTAAACTTTGAGAAAAAAATGTAGCATTTGAAATATGTCCTGCATGCACACATGTGTGGCATGTTGTGTGAATGAACTGGCTTCTCTTCTCTCTTCTTTTCTTGTACTGTCTATGTAGCTGTCATTGACTCTTTAAAGGCCTAAAACACTTGAGCATGATTGCCTCATAGAGTGCTTCACTAAATCAAACCATTTACACAGATGTACTGGAGAATAATGTCAACGTTCAGAGTGTGTACCCACATCTGTATTTAACCGGCTGTCTGTTACGTTTACAGAATGCCTTGTTTGTAATACATCTGTTGAATGTCTGTTATTTGTTTTAAGTGATTGCATTTTTCATTTAGGAGCAGAGGAAATAAAGTCAACACGCCTTATGTTTGTGGTGAACTATTATTTCTCAGACACAAACATTTTACACAGTTTTAGGTCAGGCATGTCCAAACTATGGCCCGTGGGCCAAATGCGGCCCCCAGACAAATTTTTCTTGGCCCTCAGGCTTCCAGATGACTTTAACCAAATTACCTTGCATCAATTAAAAATGAACTTTATACTGAAAGTTTTTTTTTTGAAAATCTACCATGATAAAGCCAAATATTAAATTCTGGTGTGTGGTTTTAAGGATCTTAGCATGAATAAAGACTGATGGCTCATTCTAACATGTTAAACATGCACATATTTCAATTATTCACTGTACTGAGCACCAGTCTATGGCCCTCGATCGGCCCTCTGCTTTGTCTGCGTTTAGATATGTGGCCCTTGATGGAAAAAATTTGGACACCCCTGCTTTAGGTGGTTTCCAGACACTACTGCTTTCATTTTATTCTAAGATAAATTCACAAATATTGCATTGCATGATCATGAATAGTGCTGATCCTTTCTATTAGACTACTAGACCCTAGTACTTGCTATTGACCTACACACACAAACTAAGCATTTTACCACCACTTTCCTAGTCTACTGTTATGTAAGGACTGAGATATACTGGTTAAAGTAACACCTTTACTGGGGTATTACTTTGTGATAAGCCATTTAAGGCTAATTTCAGCATAAAATAGCTCATTTGTGATATTTGAAATTCAGTCTACTTTATATCTGATGCTAAAAAACATCTCACATCTCTGAAATGGTCATAATTTGCCTCTATGAAATGTAAATAAATTCTGCCCCCTGCTGGAGGGAATTGGTCAACCCTGTGGCAAAGTGTATGTGACAGTGTGGCAGTGGTGCTGCTCAATAAGTACTTAATATCAAATGTATTTAATAAAGTATAAAATGAAGAAATACAGCAGACATGCAGTGGCATGTTGGAGGCTCTGTGCCGCTGCCAGTGCTGCTTTTGTGGGCAGTTGGAAACATTTGTCTCGCACCAGGGGCGAGTGGCGCGAGTGGATCCAAACACCAGATGGAAGTCAAATGTACAACAGATTCATGGCCGCGTGTTGTAAACGAGCCTTTAGTTCAGCGGCTTTTCATTTCAAGTTTGAGTCAAAAGTTAATTTTAAATTTCAAATACAACACATTATTATTATTATTATTATTATTATTATTATTTTCTATTATGTTAGAAACGTGAAGCTCTAAAGTTTTAAAGCAATACGCAAGTATGTCATTGAGAATGACAGAATACTATTGATATTGGCCACCTCCAGGTGCATCTGCACCATGCAACTTTTCTGAGTGAGGGTCACTCAGCCACCTGCTTGTTTCCATGGAAATGTTATCGGTTATCCCGGTATGACAATATGGCAGTATTGTCTCTATGAAACAAGCAGGCCAAGTCAGATCTGTGGAAAGGTGATTCCACTGTAAGAATGAATTATTTCAAGGTATTTTTCTATTTTCAGATATCATTGTTGCCCCAGCAGAAGGGCCCCACACAGCAAATTCAAGAGTGTTAATTCAACTTGTATATTGTTCATTTTAACACTTTTACCATGACATATGGGGTTCAAAATAAAATGAGTTAAAACTACACTTTCCAAAGTGTAGAAGGCTCAACACTGGTAAAGTGATATATCCAAACTCCTTAGTTGAATAAGATGTGATTTTTTACACTAGTGTACAGTGAAAAACTAATAACTATATTGCTATGTTTTAACACTTTATGAAGTAAAAATAGTGTAGAGTGTTCTTCATGTTACACTATTCAATAGTAACTCTTTATTCACTAAAAACAGTGTAAATGCTGTGGTCAGTCTAGTTCATAATCCCTTTTACAAATGTAAAATAATGAAAACCATCACAAAAATCCATTTCAACTTAACTTGCATTAAAACAATGCACATCATACAATCAACACAATTTAAACAAGTCATATGACACAATACTATTTTTGCAAAATCCAACTGACAGCAGGCATTTTCTGTGCCCTCAATAGTTGGTCACAAGGATTGTCATTTATTTTTTTAAAGTTGATTTTTCAATGAAAGCAGCTGATGGATGAATCAAGATCTTGTTTTGAATGAAATTCAGGCATGCTCATCTGCAAAAGTGAGAAGAGCATGTCTGACTGTTTGAAAGAAGATCTTCTCTCCATTATATAAACATAACAATGTTCACAATAGGGCCAGTCCTGCTAATTATGAAAAATTAATATTGCAGAAACTTTTTACCTCAAGAGTCAGTCTTTCACTCTTGGGGTTTCTTTTGACACATCCAACGTCCATGTTGTAGACAGCTCTTTGAATGCAGGTGTAAAGTTTGTGAGAGTCTGAGGACCAAGTGCCTTGAAGTGTTCACCAAATTCAGCCAGGTCAACGATGAACATAAAAATCTTTGTCTTTCACACTTCAGTCACAGGTAGAAAGGCCGTCCAGGCTCAACCAGCAAGAAATGCGTCCGTATCGATCTGTGAAATAAAATATAGAACAGAATAAATATAACATATTCAAATAACCACCTTACAGAACGGGCTACACAATATTTAATGAGCCATGAATAAAAATTAAAAAGTAAATATATTATGGTGCACATATCATTATTTGTTTGTTGTTTGTTATTCAATTTACTACATCAGCAGATTATGCTGTGGCATGAGCTGTATGTTTTTGTATACAGGAACCATTCGAATAAATAACTTGAAGGGTAATTTGAAAAAATGTAGCCCCTTAGAAAAGATTATTTTTAAATGCAAGACCCACATGAAACAAAACATCTAAATGCCATTAATCACGAAAATAGAATGAGATAAAGAAAAATATTACAACTACTTAGCACATATGTAAAAGTCAATTAGTCAATTACGAAATTATTGGTGAGGTTACATTTCAGTTCTACATTTAACCATTTCATGACATATCTGCAAATCACTGACGAGATGGTTAATGGCTTGTGCCTCTTTCCACTGTAGCCTTTAGGAGCTGGAGATGCATGGGAACCAGCAGCAAGAATGTATCATTACTCTTTTTAACTAAAGATCAATAGCATGTTAACACATTGGGTAAGACGTCATACTTGAAGATATTTTGTTTTTACAGAATACTACTAACCTTTTGATTCAAATTATTTTAATAATTCTCCACTTGGTACAATATCCTGCCTCAACACACCACACAAAAGTGTGCACGTTTATAAACAATTATTAAAAGAAATATGAATACAACGAATGAAAGCAGCCCCAAAGTGTGAAAACTTGGAAGAGCTAAGCAAACGAAAGCTAACCTGCCCTTCACTTCACTATAGACCGAGTGTCCGTGTCGCGGTCATCAGATTTTCGTTTGGAAATGGGGACTCGGTACCGGGTGCAGGCAGAGATAGGACCGTGTGAGGGCGTTTGGATCAGGGCTGCGTGAGATCGTGGATCCGCTGTTTGTGGTCTCCTCGAGACGGAGCAGAGGCAGAGCGGGACTCACCTGGTTTAGGAGTATGCGGGTGTGAGATGTGAGGAGAGAGGCGCTGTAAAACCATGTAAAACCCGGACAACAGGTGACAACAATGAAATAAACGTAGGAGACATTATTTTACCACTAAGATTTTTGTATGTATCACTGGAAATTGCTCATAAATAGCTCATATCTGTCCTAAATCATCGTGTAACATACACCGAGTGTAGGGCAGGTGTCACAAGAATTACAATGACCTAATGTATTATGACATAATACATTTACTTGCGTCACTATTTACAGATATTGTACTTTCTTCCCCACTGTGAAAATATCAGACATGAGTACTATTTCATGTTTCATCCTCGCTACTGCATTAACTTTAAATGACAAATCAGATGTTTCGTCCAGTTACTTTTAATTAAAGTTACTTGAGGAGTAGTTTCCCCCGAATACTTTTACTCTTAGCTACTTAACACATTTTTTGGACTTCTACTTTTTACTTAGACTTGAGAAGTATTTTTTAAAATGTATTTATTTATTTTATTTATTTATTTATTTATTTTTAAGTAACGTTACTCTTAGTTTACCCTATTTTTATGGACATCAGTGATAACAACATTGACTGTCACAGGTAAATTAGTTAGCTTACTACTACTCAATACTACTACTAGCATTAGACCAAATATATTTAGTATTTCTATGAATTAAATTAACTGCAGAGTGTCCAAAACAGGTAAAGTAATCTGACCCTGGGCATGTGAGAGCTCAGGTGGTTGGACTTAAGATGAGATGTGGCTTCTCTCTCGGACTGTATCTCTCCCGCTGGAAACGTTACAAAAGCCCAACACTGATGCAGTGTAATATTCAAAATAGACACTTTTTAAGTGTTTGACTTTAACATTGTGAATCAACAACTACTTATTTTACTC